CGCTGCCGGGACACGGGCAGGGCAGCCCGCGCCTCTCCGAGAAGCGACCTGCAGCCCCGGGCACTGACACGGCGTGAACCGCCAGCCTGGAGGCTGAGCGCTTCATCGCACACACACGTACATCACCCTCCCGCCCCGCCGCCTCCGGGAGCTTCTTCTCAAAGGAGATTGAGAGAGAAAATCCCCGATGTCCTTGTAGTGGCACAGAGTGAGGGAACAGGGATGCTCCCCGGGTTCTGTCGTGGAGGGAGAAAGTGAAGGCTTGTGTCTCTTGGAGCCAGGCGTTTTTCAGGGGTCGTGACTACGAGGCAGAAGTCTGAGTTGGGTCCAAAGGGAAGGGGGAAAGGATGCAGGGAAAGTCACTCCACTAAGGCTTTCCCACGGTCGCTCCACCATCTCCTTAACACCAGGAGACTAAAACACCCGCAGCGAGGTAAGAAACCGTGTCAGTGACTGGTTCCTGGGAACCATTATAACTATGGGGTCGTGAAGGTGGAGAAACTGCTCCTCCCCTCTGGGCATGAGACGTGTTTGATTTACAAGGCCTGGCGATCTGAATGCCAAGAATTTCCTTGAACTTGTATTTTTTTCATGTGCAATTAAAAAAAACAAAACAAAACAACAACAATACAATCCCCAGAACGGACACAATCAGAATTACAGATACATTAAAATTACGTGGACATAGTGAGCACAGGATGCACACAGAGCCTCTTCATGTCACTTGTGCTACGTCTGTTAGTGTGTGTGTTTCCACTACCCAGAAGGCTGCTTTCAACCTTGTGCAAACAAAGGCCATCTCTCTGGTCAGGCTCTCAGGCTGGTGAACAGTTTGCTTCCAGTGTTTCAAACATTGTTAGGCAGTATCAGCCCAGTGATTCCAAGGAAAGCAAAGAAGAGATCAATTCATGACGGTCAGAATTCCGAGAAAAGTCGTGCTAACCCCTAAAATAGGTGAATGGAATTAGATGGGAAATGTACCTTTTGAATCAGGATCACAAATAACTTAATTGAGGAATTATCTCCCCTTTCTTTCTTTTTCTTTTCTCTCTTTGCATGTGTTTCAATCTGACATTCATGCAGTGGATAAAACTTACTTGGGCCTCCGTCTTCCATTCGAGAGCTGATTCTGTTTTCACAGTTGCTTTACATTTTGCATTTTCATCATAAAACCATCACTGAATAGGAGTTTGCAAGAGTAAAAACCAGAGCACCTGACTCTAGTTGTCTCTTCCTGCAAGATTTACAAGGGAAGCACAGATAATTATATTTTTTCCTTTTATATATATTTTTTTTTAACTATTTCCAGTTACAGGAGAAAATGTAAAGCTGTCTTGGCACATCTCTCTTTGTCTTTTTCCCCCTTTGCATTCCAGTCATTCTTTTTCTGCCCATAAAATGTTACTACTCCACAAGAGCCTGATTCTGCACAGCCTTCTCAGCCTGTTTTTCTGCCGGATGCAGGAAGAAATCCTGTCAGATGGGGTCTTCAGTGTACATTAATGAAACTGAGCAAGAGCCTCTCTCAGAATGTGCACTGGAACAGCAAATAGTTACTTTTCAGCTGTGGATTACATGTGCCTCTGAAAAGGGGACCACAAATCATTGGGTTTTTAAAGGTTCCGCATGAGTTGTATATTAATCCCTGTTTCCCTAGGGATGGATTAATCCCAGCTTCCCAGTTGTGTGGCTACAGACAATGTTGATGAGGTTGGGGGCAGGGGAGAAGGGAGATGGAGAAAGGAGAGGGAAATTAAAAAGATATGCCACAAGAATACATGGCCTAAGTGGTGAGGAGCCATAAGTACTGAAGTTTCAATACCTCTTCTACCTCTGTCACCACATGTGAGCTGAAGCAAGTAACTTCAGCTCCCTGTTTTGGTT